GTGGAGACCCCTACTCTGTTGGGTCCAGCAGAAAGAGCTAACCTCAACAATGGACCTCAGAATACCAGACAATGGATGTAGTTCAAAAATACAGTAATCCCAAATATTTATTTTTTCTCTGAAGAAAATTGGATTCCCCCCCCAAAATGGTGGAAATCTTTAATGGAAGAAATGAGCACCCTGAAATGAGCCACTATCATTTTATAATATTACTACAGTCTGAATGCAATTTCATGGTTAAGATCCCCCATATTAGCACTTAGTACTGGCCAAAAGCTGCATGCTAGCCAGAAAATCTGCCAGATGTATGTTTTATTTTCAAGCTCTGTTCCAAAGTTGTTGGCTGCTACTGCAAACTTTGACGAGTTGAAATGAAGTTCGAGAACAGTACTGCATTCTTCAGCTCAAGCTGATGATTGCTACATCACATGCAAGCAGGACCAGGGATCATTATATCTCCTAACTCCATTGCAATGTGGTCAACTGTGCAGAAAAGTATCGACAGTTTATCCATGTTCAATGAAATTCAAATGTAGTGACGAATGATCAACATGCTCTAGCCACCAATGAAATTCCATGCTGAGTGGCATGGAGGTTACAAATATAGGCAGACACCAATTCAATTCACCAAAAAATCCTGGACAAATTGGAAATTAGGTGAAAAGGCAAATTCAAACATCCTCCACAGAAAGAGCAGGAAGATGGACAGTATCCAACAATGCAAAACTTCAGCTGCGCTTCCAGCTACATTAAAATTATGGCCAGTCTGTCCTGTTTCTGTGTTATCTTACATAAGATACATTATCTTATCTTACATCTTACCTCACTGGTGGATACTGAGAAATAAAATGCATTCTCTGGACTAGGAAAGACCAAGACGACAAAATACTAGCATAATCTAAGCAAGATGTTCAGAACTTCTTTGAAATGTGGTACTTCTGTTTGGTTATTAACAGTCAGTTAACATCTGAAACTAAATAAACTATTAAACAAGGTGGAATGGGAGTGAAGGTCCAAAGACATAAAATTAATTCAGATCTTGAGTTATCTGTCTCAAGGAGTCAGGGTAAATACAAAACATGCAACACAAGCACAAAGAAAATTGTTTTAAACGTAATGTATTACTGAAAATGCATACTACATTATGAAATAGAACATTCAGCTTCCTGTAGCCAAGTTAAATTTGCACAAGAAATTAAAGAAAAAGATGTTACATAATCTTCAAGAGTATTTCAATTTACCAACATTTCCCTTAGGTTAAATTAACTCAAAATATATTGGGCATTTAATTAAGGATGTAACTGAAAACATATTTGTATCAATTCCCTCAGCAACAGCAGAGTTTGTGTAATGACAAAATTCCAGAGTAATTTATAAAATTTATACCCAAACATTACATGAAAATTCTGTGACCAGACTTATCTCGCAAGGGCAGTGCTCAATTCATTGTGCAACACTACTGCAACAGAGACAGGAATGATAACTTTTCCACATGACTGACACTCCTTTAAAACCAGTCTTTCCCTTGTACAAACAGTGTGTATCTACTTCACATTTCAGAGCACTGAGAGTATACAAAATGGTAATTGTATATTTAAGATGCCATACTGGAGAGTTGCATGATCTGTGTTTATTTTGTTCTACATGTATAGTAACTTCTACAGAACTGTTAGCAAATGCATTCTAAATTCTAAATACAGTTCTGATCTGATTTTTTTTCCTCAACGTGCTGTAAAGACAGCTCTCCCCAGTATGACAGTCACTTCACTATACTCCAGTAAGCTATGCCCTAACCAAGAGATTAAATTTAGTGAGAAAGTAAAAAATAGCAAAATTTTCACCATTTAGGGGATAGAAATTATAATATTTTATTGTTTTATGGTCTCTGAGAAACAGTGCAAGAGTTCATCTGTCCGATGGAACGAGTTCCGTCCGTTTTCTAACTAGTTAGTATATTTATTACTGTACTGTATCATCAGTGTTTCTGGAATTATCAGTTCCTTGGTTAGAGGTAGTATCTGTTGAATAAGGGGATAGAAATTATACAAATATGAGACTACTTTTCTTCTTGTACTTATTCAGCAGACACTACATCTAACTAAGGAACTAATAATTTCCTAATATAAATATTATTCCTCCTCCTAATTACTACATCTCCAGATCCGCACATTATGGATTGTTTGACTTGACACAGGCACCAATATGTATTCAAGTGTTCTTTCAAACAATGTTTCGTGATAGCATATTACAGTGTTCCGCAACCTATTTATACTCGCGGCACACCATGAAGAATCCATGACTCAACACGGCACACCAAAATGTTATTCCCCTCAAAAACGCATGATATCAGACAATTAATATAAATACGTAACATGATCAGCTTATTACTATAATATTATTATACTAGCTGTACCCGGCCACGCATTGCTGTGGCTCAGTCTGGTTAAATGGAAAAGAAAGAAAAGAGAAAGCGCACGTTTCTAATATGTTTAATTTCACCATGCTTGTGGGTATACAATATTTTCTGTTGTTCCATTGTCTGTGCAGATATGGAGATTGTCTGGTTTGCCGACTCTAGAACATGCAAAATATAATTGTCCATGTGAGAAGCAATCTGTGCCTAGATCTAAACCGCACAACTCAAAAGATTGGCCCTGAGCTTTGTTGATGGTGATTGCAAACGCCAATCGAATTAGGAATTGCAGTCTCTTAAATTGAAATGGCACATCCGTTGGAATCATAGGAATGCGAGGAATGAGGACATCTTCACCTTTGAAAGGTCCTGTCAAGATTGTTGCTTCTACGACGTTGCTCAATAATTTTTTTACTGCAAGCCGTGTGCCGTTAAAAAGCTTTGGCTGGTTGATATTTCGCAACATGATAACTGGCACGCCTATTTTCAATTGCAGTATGTGCGGTGGCATCCCTGGCAGATCGAGTGAATTAAAAAATTCTGTTGGATAATTAACTGCTTCATCTGCTTCCACAACAGTGTCGATGGACTTGTATGTGACTGCCTCGCATTGAATGTTAGACTGAATGATATTGTTAAGCTCGTAGACGTCTTTGTTCTTGGCCGCAAGAATAGCTCGTTCACTCAGTCAATCGTGATTCTTATAATTGGTTTGAACATTGGGAAATACTTTTTCAACCAATCCTTCTTTTGACGTCACTAAATTGCAGAAGTTATGAGGCAATGAAATTCGTCCTGAGGTCAGATCAACTGGAACTTTTCCGTTCCCCAGTTCCAGCAATTGATGTGAGAATATCTCAGCTGCTGGATCGTTTTGCAGCTGGACATGCATATTTGTAGTTAATTTTAACGTCTTTACGTGTCGCCACAAAGTAGAGCATTTCAGGCAAGCATTTATTTCGTCCGCTGGTGTCGATCGAGGAATTACAGGTAATGTTTGCCTGAAATCCCCTGCAAGCAATATTAATGTGTTCCCAAATGGTCTGATGTTTCCACGCAAATCTTGCAATGATCGATGAAGAGCCTCGAGCGATTTTTTGTGCGCCACTGTGCATCATCTCAAACAATGAGTTTGCATTTCTGCAATACCCTTCCCATGCCTGATCCTCTGGAAATGTTGCACGTGGGAGTTTAAATGAATTGCATGTTCAATGGCAATTTCAAAGCGGAATGAGCAGTTCTTCCACCTGGCAGCAATGTCGCAGCTATTCCGGACGATGCAAGAGCTAAGGCTATGTCATTTTGGGACTGAATTGCTGCCAGAATCAATCTAATTAGGAACATTTTACCAGTTCCTCCTGGCGCATCTAAGAAGAAGATTTCTGCAACCACGTTATTGACAGTTTGCATTATTTGATAGTAAATGCCTTTTTGCTCAAGCGTTAGCTTAGGAATATTTGATTGCACACATGACAAAAGATCACCCGTATTGTAATTTTGTTCACGACGCAATTCTACATTGAACAAAGCAGCAGCAGATCGATTCAGTGATGGCATTCTCAATTGATTGAGAACTTTGTTCGCGATTTCTAAGCACAAATCTTCAATCATTATCAACACCTCCTTGTAGATTTCTGCTGTGAAATCTGTGTTCATATTGGAATTTTCCTTCCGCATTAGACGGAAAATATCTTCAGCCATGTGCGATTTATATTTCTCCCATAACTCTGTTGGAGATCAAGGAGAGCAGGCGGTCAATGACTGCAAACAATGCACGAATTTGATGTGGATGTGACGTGTTGCATGCGTCAGTAATGCATACATCCCAGTGTCGGGCGTTCTCCAATAAATTCAGAGCTTGACATGCACTGCGGAAAGTGGCATGTGTTGACAATTCTCAATTGCTGGAAAGACGTTGAACAGGGCACATTTACCAACAGCATGCGAAGAAAGAAGCATTCATCTTGATTGGGATGCATGGTGTACAGTCTGCCCATCGTAGTTTCTTTGAATATTCCAGTTTGTCCGTCGACTCGCTCTCCTCGTTTGCGTCGTTCAAATGATCTTCTACTCGCATTCCATGTGTAATATGTAGGCACTTCCGAATATGGCAGTGTTTTTGCAAACGCGTCATTTTGACATAACGTGAAGAAAGCAGTTAACGTTGTAGCCGGTGGATTCAGGGCTATTTGTTGCATATTTGCAGTTGTGAAATAAACGCGTTGTCCGTTTTCTAGATGTACTGCTAAGTGAACAACAGCTGGACTTCGTTCATGTATGGGAAATGAAAGAATTCGCCATACAGCTTCATTGCTGATTATGTATCTTCCAGCCTGATACTGTGAGATTTCATCGATATGTATGACCGCATTCCTATCACTTTTTTCCGGTTGCATGCCAAAAACTGCCATGTTGCTGCCTTTATTCATGTACTTACAAATGTATTTGATTGATTTAACGGAGTTACAGCGTACTCATGCATGACGTGGACTGCCACGAGCATTGATGCCTGTCCTAAATGGAATAATATTTATTTATTTATTTCATNCGGTAAATCTCCACTGTGTTAGCTTGGTTGCTGGAAAAGGGAAAAGAAAACTGCGCAGTAGCGATTCCAAAACCAATTATTCATTACTTATGTGATTATAATTGATTAGAGCTAGTGCTTGCCCCATACAAGAGAAACTCATCCACTTTGTAGAAGCAATGATTAAGTAGGTAAGTTTTCAAAGCACTTCTGAACTTGAATAGTACTGGTATCTCTTTAATATGTTGTGGTAAATGATTTAGCAGTCGAATTCCTACATTGTTAAAGTTGTTCTTGTATAGACTTGTATTACATGGGACGATGTGTAAGTCGTCTTTTTTCCTTTTCCTTATTCAGGACAGACTGCAAGGATCATCTGAATGGGAGGGCGAGCAGTGAACGAAGAAGGATATAGGATTTAGGGCTACGTTTAAGGAGAGACAGAGCCAACACTTTTTCATCAAAATTCCACCTCCTGCCATTAGGCTTCTGTCTAATGTTCCAAAACATTGCTACCAAAAGTCTTGCAGCCCCTAAACTGAAATATGAAAGACTGTGCATCAGTGGGTCACTGTCCACATCACAGAGCTTTTTCAGCTTCTTTCCCTTATACTTCTTTTTGAGTTTACAGAGCGCACTCTCTTTATTCCAAACATGTTCATATAATTTCCTTTCTCTCGGTGACAATTCTGAAAGTGAAGCCAAATGAAGTTTTTTTTTTTTTTTTTTTTTTTTTTTTTTTTTTTTTTTTTNGAGAATGCTTTGCTCTAGGCTTTGAGGAAGAACTTTGACAACTGATATGCCCGAGTTCTCCATCAGAAGCATTTATATTTACAGAGCTTAGGGGAAGAGAGGTTTCTTTTGCTGCAAAGGTGTTTGCTACTGTTGGTGGTGGTTGGACTGCAGACATCTGAGAGGAAGTGGAAGGACTGTCTGCATGTATAGGAATAGGTGTTACAGTGGAGTGCACCATTGTCTTGCTGTAAGGGGTGGGAGTTATAAGTGAGGGCAAAGGATCCAAGGAAGGTATATGTAATGAAGGGATAGGAGATTGTGGGCATGAGTGTGAAGCAGAATCTGAATCACATGGCACTGTCACTCTGTTCAGGTGTACCCTTTCAGCTGTAGTGAAATCACTGTCCAGGAAATGTTTGCTGCACAAATATTTATTGTGCAGTCTTCTAGCAGAATCAATAGTGCAAGATATTCCAACTTTTCCTGCCCATACCGCAGCCCTGTAAAAGTAGAACAAATAGTCTCAAAACCTAGAAATAATTCTTCAGTAAACATTACAAACTTGGTACACATTCTAAATTTTTGGGTTATGTTGAATAAATTGAACACAGACACACACTAAACTTAATTTATTCATTGGATTAAGCAACACATAATAAAGTAATTACACCATGAATTAAAACAGACGTACCATGCTGAATGCCTTGCTTGCTGGATGACAAACACCCAGCAGCAGCACATGTTTTCGTTTTCATGTTTATACTGCAAGAAGCAATACAAAAATTACAACACCATCACGGTACTCTTAGAACTCCTTCACATTCAACAGACAATCTTTGGGATAAACCGAAAGTTGAAGAACATATTAAACAAATATCGTTTAGATGACAGTTCATGATAACCTCACAAATTTTAGGCTTGAAAGAATTCTGTATGTTTCTAATTTCATTTGTGGTAGTAAGCATAACATTCATATACACAACTAATATGTTTAATATGGAGCTGTAACTTCGTTTGCAAATGTCTACTTTCGTTTCGCAACCACATCAAATCAAAATTCATACTTACCAATTTGCATATAATGAACCACAGTCTTCTTCTTCTTCTTCTTGGCACTACAGCCCCAGTGGGCCTAGGCCTACTTCCATGAACTTTCGGTTTTTCTAGATCTTACGCACTAGGTAGAACACCTTGGGCGGGTGATCAGCTCGTCGCAAGGCCTCTACCTGTACACAAACATAGAAAAACGCACACACACAAACTAAACATTCAACCCCTGAGTGGGATTCGAACCCAAGATCCCGGTTTCCAAGCGAGCGACGACAGCTCGGCTACCGTGACCAATGAACCACATTAACCGCATAAAATTGAGGGAATTCAAATTGGTTTGTTTAGGCTCTCTGATTGGTCGAGATCTGTGTGTAGTATCTGCTATCATTAATTGTTGTTGTCATCGTGTTTCCCCTTCTCCTATGTCAGTTTCTTCCCCCAGCCCCTTGACAGCCATCGAATCTCTTTTCTTATTGGTGGACAACATGGCCGCCATGTGGTCACTAGTGTGTGTGTTTGTGTGTAATAGTGAACTGTGGTGTAGTCACGCGCTTTATCAAAGAATGCAATAAATCCAAGTCATCAATCGAAACCCATTTATAGTTACACTATACATGTGACAGTATATATAAAATAAGATGAGCTGCAAATTTATGAGTCTTTTTTTACAGATGATCTGTGTAATAAAATCTGGAAATACAGCACCAGTGACATCAATACTATATTTCATTTGCATTTTTTCTATGTCATGAAGAATTTTGAAGAGTGCTGTGATTGAGCTGGAAGAAATTCAGGGAGAGTTCGAGAAGCTTTTCATGGTTTCTTAAAAAGCAGCAGTCTAATTCAAAATGGAATTCATATCAAAATATTCCTCTCTGTGGAAAATTCTGCCCCTTGTTTATATATATGAGAGAAAAAATCTTTCAGCACAGAAATACAGTGTGACTGGTAATCGTGAGATTCAGGAAGTTAAAACGACAGAATGATCTAATTATAACCATGTACCCGTTTCCTAGCAAGCATACAAATATGTTTAAGTTCAAAAGGTAACCTTTCTCTTCAGATGGCACGAGCTTAACTTATTCTCTGTGGCAAGTGCTTTAGTACAATTTCTAAGCCAAATGATTAGATGCCAGTTAACGAATTGGAAAGTATGTGGAAGAGATCGTGGCATAATCGAAGGCAATACTTTGGAACTCTCCTGGAGGGACTGAGGAATCTCATAAAACACCGGTCGGTATAGTTGGTATCCTCGCCGAAATTCGAACCAGAATATAAGAAGCGTTACCGCCTTAACAATCTTCCTTACTGTTTTTTTTTCTGCCATGTGTGTACACACATGTAAATGTTCGTATTTGAAGCTGAGTAATTTTATTTAGTTATGAAATTCTGTTGAAAGTTGGTCCGATAGCATCTTGGCTGAAAAGAGGTTTTTACCTACGTGACATGATATTCGCCCGCGGCTCATGCTAATCATCATTCACGAAGTGCTCATGGGCGACTATACGTAAGCATTACTGCCAGATTAATTACGTATGGTTCAATATTATGCATACCTTGTAGGAACTGATATTATTCACATAATTACAAATCTAAGATTGAAAGTCACACCGTCAGTGATGGAAAGTAGCAAAACGACGTAGTTTACAGAACTTACGAAACACGGAATCTACCTAGCAGTTGCCTAGCGTAATGTAGCAAAGGAGAGATCCGTGAAAATAATGGGACACATGTGTTTATTGAGTGTTAATTATTTAGGCTGTCATAAGAAGTAGGAGCTGGACCCCAATTGTACACATGACCGAGCCAAAAAGAGACTTTTTAAAAGCAATTCTGCATTGAAGATGTAAAGTGATATGGTTACACCCTCACTGTGAAATCTCCGGAACTTATATAGAGGCCCAGGCAAGTGACATGAAGGTCGTTGAGCGATTGATTATTTATAGCAGATGATTTCTTCGACTGTTTTGGGTTTCACAGACAATGGGCTTTTGGGTGAAACGAAGACATTTATCGATGTTGTAATATGTGAGTATTAGTGTTTTATGAATTCCTTTGGATTTCCTGTTCAGAACAACAAAATTTACATCTTTGTAGAATTCTGGGCTTGGTTGGTTGGCTAGGGAAATTTATTTTCTTGATGTCTTTTATGATTTATAAGTTTTTGAAGCAGACGAAACGTATCTGCCTACAGAGTATGTGATTTTAAGTGGCGTGAATCTTTTGTTATGGGGGTATTATTAATTCTAGGTTAGGGTTGTGATAGGTTAGACTACATAATGTGTTACCAGGGATGACAGTCTAAAGCCTCATTCACACCACTCCTGTTGCTTGAATTGAAGTTCGGATCAAGTGTACTAGACAGACTCAAATAATATAGAAGTCCAGTTTTCTACATGACTTGAACAGCATTTAATAGCAAATACAAAATGTCATTGAATAGTGAGGAATTCGACACTGAAGGGAAAACTGCAGATTGCATTAAGAGAGAAAAAGAGAAACAAGAGAATTAAAACGGTCTGCAGTCAGGGGCTGAACAGAGTTAGGAAATAGAGAAGAGTGGTGTGGGAAGCAATGATATGTACAAGCTGAAATTAGTTTGGTGTGAAAAAGCTGGCAGCTTCTTGTAGAGTGAAATTGGTACAGAATTACAGAAAGCTGGTAACAACTGTGTCAGAAAACAATATACTGTGTTTTCTTGGAGCACAACATGGATGTTATGGAAATGATAGGCTTTCAGTACCAGCAAGATAGGACATTGAAATTTAAAAGTTTTATTTGGGCTGATACTATTTCCCAGGGCCATGACAGTTGGTTCTGTATTTTCAGGCCTATCATAGCTAATAATTTAATGGACTTCTTCACTGATTTCTTAGGTTAATTTTGTAGCTTTTTCTGCCTTTTGATGCTAGTTCTGTAATAAGTGCACTAGATGCATTGAGTTGATTCCTTTTCCTTATTCTCATGCTTATCCAGACAGTCCTTTGTTTCATATTGTCTCTTTCCAATACAGCTAGTAAGTCACTCAATACGAACTAAACAGTTATCAGTACACAGTGATGCCTTTTGGTTTTTATAACTGGCAGCTAGTTAACTCACTTAAATATGAACATAATTTGAAATCATAATGCTCTCATTTCAGGCAACTAGAATTCAATGTATTTTACAATGAATGAGGCTTAATAGGCTTGCATATGTATTTTGAATTGCATGTTTAATTGTGCCACTATATCTGATATATATATATATATATGTATTGTTTTCAGTTAAAAATAATAATCCTTGCCCTTCATGAATCATGGATAACCCTGCTGTTGGAGGTGGACGTCGGCGTGGTGCCACGAAACATTCAGCAGAAGATCAAGCTCTAGATCAAATAGCTAAAGAGGTAAAGCTTTTTTAATTACAGTATATTTCCGCTGTACACTGCGAATGATGATGTATTGCTGGTTAAAGTGTAGAGAGTAACCAGAATTGTCTGCCATACCAAATTTTAGTACAGTTTTCATTCCATAAAGTTCGTTCTCAGTTCAGTTTAGTTTGGTGTGTTAGTTTTTTCCTTTTGAGGTTAGGTTGGACCAAGTGGTATTAGTTTAGGTGAACCCAAACTGTATTCTGCATGTGTACTGGCCACATATAGTATGAGAAAAGAGTGATTTAGGGTTACAAAATGTGATTTTGCTTTTGAACTACACGTGCAATGAACATTATTCATATCCTTCCAGAAGTTTTTAAATTTATAGAGAATTAATATTCTATTGGGATTCTGAGAAACACATGACATTTACATTTACATTTATTTATCATTTCATGGATCCAATCATCTCCCCATAGGGCTGGATATAAAACATGTTACATATTACAAATTCATGATGACTACACATCATTCATCCTTGGTCCAGAAAAATATAAAATCAAGCCTGAGACAGAATAGCTCATGTTGTCAGGACAACACACATAGGTCATGGAAAAACCACATTCAAATTCACACCTTGCCATTCCACACATGCTGGGAAGCCATATCATCTCAACTAGGTCTAGGAAGTTGTGAATATACGAGGAGGGACCCAAAAATAACCGAAAACGACCTGTTGCGCGCGCATGCTTTGTAGTTACGAGTTGTGCTGCTAGGTGGTGTTAGCTGGGGGTCTCCCGCGACTGTTAGTGAGCTGGCGTCAGTCTGAGTTAAGTGGTTTGTCTGTGGTGCTCTGTTGTGTGCGTTCCTGTTTCAACCCTTTGGCGATTAGTGAGATGGCTGACCAGAAGGAACAAAGAGCGTGCGTGAAATTTTGCTTTCTGTTAGGGAAAACTGCACTTCACTCTTCAAGTCGCGGCAAACATTCACGCGGTTTTCTCTTTGGTCATCTCCGAGCAAGCGAGGAACAAATTTTGCAGACACCCATCTCATGTGCAAACCTTCGGTTAAAATTCGCTGGACCGTGCTCCATGAGATGTTCGTTTCCTCAGAAAGTTGGTCAATGGTCTTTCGACGATCTTCATCAATTTCACGNCACCCTTTGTTCCTTCTGGTCGGCCATCTCACTAATCGCCAAAGGGTTATTTAATGATGCTGTCAGTAGTTAGGCTATATAACATTGAACGGTAGAATGACAGATGAATGATTTATTGGAAAGGATTTGGAAGGCAGCAGTCCTGGCACAATCCAGGTACTATCCCAGCATGTCGTGAAACAAGACCTCGAGGAGTGTATTCTTGCGATGTCACTTTATTACTCAATGCCGTAACTACACTTCTATATGTATAATATAAACTCCATCATAAATGTAATACTTTATTGTAGTTCTTGTCCCTCTTCTTTTACACTACATGTTTTGGCCATAACCAGCCATCATCAGGAGTATTTCACTTCACGTAGCTATCACACTGCACTCAATATCAACATTTAAACTCCAGATTTACAATTGTTCATTGTTCTGTCGTCAGTTGGCACCTGATATTCCAGAACTCCCCTTGTTGATTGGCAGTGTGACAGCTACATGAAGTGAGATACAGCTGATGATGGCCGGTTACGGCCAAAACATGTAGTGTAAGAGAAGGG